GAGTTACCTTCAAGCTACCACCAACTGTAGAACAAACAACTATATTTAAACCAACACATGGAGGGGGAAAAAAATACATGTTAAAATATACATCTCACGGTGACAGAGAAACAATGCCTGAATTGTCATGACTTCCAGTTTATACCCACCAAATATAATTTCTCTAACAATCAGAGGAAGGAAACTCAGCTTCAGAATTTCCCTGAGACCAGAGGAGTGACTTTCAAATAAAAGTGCTTTAAACTCCTCCGACGGGGCTGAGTTGAAAACCATGCCTTTTACTCTCTAGGAAAATCATGGGGCATGCTTCTGACTCAGGATACACAAAAGGACCTAGTTTGACGTTTGATGAATCGACATCTGCCTGCCCTCCTAACAGAAACATTTCCAGGGAAATCCATCTCCTCCAATGTGCATTTTCTTCCCCCACCGGAAACTTTTCTTGGAAGTTCCTCATCTGATACTTGGAAATCTTTGCATTTACGTTGAGCTCTTGGGCTCCCAATGCACAGGGGTCTCCAGGCTTTCATGAGAAAAACCTCTCTGCCAGACCTTAACTCTAGATCTACTCCCAATTTTGTCCCTATCATGTCATTTTGGGTAATTTGAGTAACCTCTGAATGTGAGATCATCACAGCAATTTACTTCCTAATTTCTCTCTGTCCAATTGCATCCGAAGAGTTGTGATGCACTCGGCTGCAACTGGAATTCAAATCTTCCACCTCTAGAGTTTTCCCTTGACATTCATCAGATTCCCTATTCTCTTCCTTTCCCTGATGGCACTGATAACAGGTAAGGAGCTGTTCCTGCTCAAAAATCATAATCTGTACAGTCTCCATGGGCAGAACCAACTGGGATATCTGGTCTACCACCTACCTTTTATGAGTCCTTGCAGGATTTTGCCTGCGAAAATGAATCACTGTCTCACCTTAAAGCTATCTCCTTTCTCGAGGTAGGAGGCATCACACTCTCAATATGATTTAGGCATCCATGGACTCCTTCCTGTTCCTACAGGTCACATTTCCATTTTTACTAAACTTCTGCCCACACTGACGTATATGCACTAGGTGGTCAGACCGTATTTGTGCAAATAGATGTGTTGAATTCCAAGCCCTGTCTTCATCTGATGAAGAAATGCATTTCACAGTCACCCAAAGACCTGACATCATAACTGATAAGAGTTCTTGGTTTGATTATTATTTTTTTTGGCATCTTTTCTTTCAGCCCTCCAAGAAGATTACCTTTAAAGTATTTTCCTTGGACGGTTTCTCTCTTATTTTCTTCGTTGTCAATGACCAACATAGTCTGTTCTCTTAAATATTCACAGCTCCTTTCCCCTTTGGGGGTGCAGGGGTATAATCATAGCTACGTTCCCAGGTTCATTGTTTTTCCTGTTTCAGCATCCTTTTTGGTTAATGAACACAGCTTAGGAACACTTATAAGTTTGGTTCAACATTCCAATCTGTTTCGATAATCCTTTCTGACTTTTCTCAAGGAAGCAAGGGATGGTTAAGTGTTTCCAGGCTTGGGGAGGCTCTCCCGGGCATATCCTAAGAGAAATGTGGACCCTTCTTGGGCTTTTCCTGAAATCCAGCTCATGGTCTCTCCATGCAAGCTGAGTCTGCTTATCTGAAAATAACATTAGACTCACTCAAGCAGAACGGTTCGCTCCCTGAGCTGTTTCATCCTCACCTGTCAAAGGTGATTCAAGCCAAGGTGGCTTCTAACCAGCCACTGGCAAGATGCAATCTCTCTAGTCCATTGTGGGACTCCCCCAGTTTTCTTGCCTTAAACCCTTGTAAATCAAGTGAATTTTTTCTTCCACCTTTTCTCTCCTCTCTGTTTCTTCTGTTCCATAACCCTGCCCCTTCTTGGGGAAGCAATTTTTTTTTCAGTTCTAATTAATTAGCCTTAGACATAATAATAAAGTTAAACCATATCCATTTTCTGCTAAGTTTAGTAAAACAAGGTTTCCTTCTTTTACTATTCTGCTAAATTGTCTCACAGTTACATACATAATATACAATTTAAAAAACAACTGGGGCTTCCCTGGTGGCGCAGTGGTTGAGAGTCCGCCTGCCGATGCAGGGGACGTGGGTTCGTGCCCCGGTCCGGGAGGATCCCACATGCCGCGGAGCGGCTGGCCCCGTGAGCCGTGGCCGCTGAGCCTGCGCATCCGGAGCCTGTGCTCCGCAACGGGAGAGGCCACAGCAGTGAGAGGCCCGCGTACCGCAAAAAAAAAAAAAACCAAAAACAACTGTAGTTGAATAGGATATGAGAGTGCTCAGAAGCTCCTTCTTTTAGCTAAAAACAAAAATATCTCTTATGTAAAATTCATGCTGTTAAATTAGGACCAAGTTTCATATTATTTTGGTTGATTCTAAATCAGTGGTCTTAAGTAAATTTTGAAACCTTATATCCCTTCTCAGAAATTTTTGTTGACCTCTAAAATTCCTCATCATGTCTCAATAGTTGTAAAATATACAGTTTACAGAAAATTGTGAACATTGACATGAAAATTTCATCAGTCTTTGAAATGGATCCATTTGGATTCCCACCATGATGCATATAAAAATACTTGAACAAGCTCATTTTAACAGGTCAGAAGTTCTTCATTTTTTTTGTCTCTGAAATTCTATTTTCATATCACTTTTCTTGGGGAAGCAGTTTAATGATTTACATTTCCCTGTAAGAAAAATCTACTCCAATTAGCATTTTTGTCTTCTTCCTGTTTTACTGAGATCTAACTGACACACAGCACCGTATAAGTGTAAGGTGTACAGCACAATGATTTCACTTACATACATCGTGAAATAATTATCACAAGTTTAGTGAACACCCATCATCTCCTATAGATACGAAATTAAAGACATAGAAAAAAATTCCGTTTTGTGATGAGAACTCTTAGGATCGACTATCTTTACACCTTTCATACAGAAGACCCCGCAGGTGTTCATTCTACTTTTCATGTTGTACATCACAACCACAGTACTTATTTATCTTCTCTTATAACTTATTTATCTTATAACCGTACCTTTGACTTCCTTCATCCGATTTTTTTCTATGGGTTTTTGAAGTATAATTGACTTACGACACTATGTTATTCCTGGTACACAACACAGTGATTCAATATTTCTAAACATTTCAAAATGGTCACCATGCTAAGTCTTGTTACGATGTCACCATACAAAGTTATCACATAGTCATTGACTACATTCGCCACCCTGCACTTTTCACACTCTTGACTCATTTATTTTGTAACTGAAATGTCTTTCAGGCACAGGGTTTTGCACGCATTTGCCCTTGGTTAAATATTGAGGCAACATCATGTTCATGACCATAAACTACAGAGTATCCTAATTTTGTTGGCTATTTGAGAGTGCAGTGTATTACTGTAGGAGCACTAATGCATTTTAACAAGTCCTGATGTGAACACGAGCACACTGCCAGGATTATTCTAATGTGTACGAGCCAATATGTTTATATATATACACCTTCTAACACATATCACATTAAATCCATGCATACAGTTTAGGACAAAACCAAAAAAGGACCCTGTGTCTCCTGTATCGTATAACACGGCAGCATCTGGTAAGAGTTTCAGCCAGGCCAGGTCACGTCCCTGACCACATCTGTTATTTAAATAAGACTTCCCTTCTCTCCACTGCTCTGTGAGGTAGAGCAGCTGATACCACTTTGACATTGATCTTCTGATTGCAACAAGGAAATTATAGAAGATTCAGTCCTAGGGAATTCCCGGTGGTCCAGTGGTTCGGACTCAGCACTTTCACTGCCGTGCGCCCAGGCTTGGTCAGGGAATTAAGATCCCGCAAGCTACACGGCGCCCTCCGCCCCCCACCCCAGCCCCCCGATAAAAGATCTGGTTCTGAAAATAAAGTCTTTGGGGAGGAAATATTGCCTGAATGTCGTGGGATGGTTTCTGTCTTTCGCACAAACGTCTGTGTTTTCTGTGGACACCCAGATTCCCAGCTAACTGAAGGGAATTTTGTCTCTCCCTTTTCCAAAGGGAGCCAAAGGCATCCCTGCAAAATATGCAATACACACAGGAGGGCTGGCATCCCAGAAATGCCATAGCAGCCCAATCAAAGATTCTTTCCACTGCAGCCTTTCCGTTAGCTTGGTTGCAGTGGCTGACTTCATGGAAGAGGATGAGCGACCTCTTCTTCGGCCAGCAGCATGGAGTGAACATTTGCAAAGCTGTGATGGCCTTAAAGATGGATCTCTACCTCTGATAAAATGACTGCATGCACCCATCTTACGGCAGAAAGATTGAGTTGCACCTTTCTGCTTCTAAGATCTCTCAGCCGATCCTTCTGGTCCACAGAGGTGGTTTGAGAGAAAACATCCGGCTTCCAACAGCCAGTATTTCATTTCCCACTGGTTGGCGCAAGTGGACATCATTGCTGGTGGATGGGATGTTTCCTACTGAAGCCGAATCTGGCCTCCGTGCCCTGACACCAAATTAATTTTTGGAGACCAAGTTTGGGGTGAAGCAGAAGAGAATAGCTTTATTGCTTTGCCAGGCAAAGGGGGCCACAGTGGGCTAATGCCCTCAAAACTGTGTGTCCCAGGGACTTCCCTGGGGGCACAGCGGTTAAGAATCAGCCTGCCAATCCAGGGGACATGGGTTCGAGCCCTGGTCCGGGAAGATCCCACATGCCGCGGAGCCACTAAGCCCATGCGCCACAACTACTGAGCCTGCGCTGCAAAGCCTGTGAGCCACAACTACTGAAGCCCACGTGCCACAACTACTGAGCCTGCGCTCTAGAGCCTGCAAGATGCAACTACTGAACCAATGCACCACAACTACTGAGCCCGTGAGCCACAACTACTGAAGCCCGCGTGCCTAGAGCCCGTGCTCTGCAACAAGAGAAGCCACCGCAATGAGAAGCCCGCGCACCGCAACGAAGAGTAGCCACAGCTCGCCACAACTAGAGAAAGCCCGCGCACAGCAACGAAGACCCAACGCAGCCAAAAATAAATAAATAAATATTAAACAAAACACAGAAAACTGTGTGTCCCAACCTGGAGGTGGTTGTGAGGAGTTTTACAGCGATGGTTCAAAGAGGGCGTGGTCAGCTCATGGGCACTCTTCTCATTGGTTGGTGGTGAGGTCATCGAAGTCAGCATCATTGACCTTCTGGTTCCAACGGGTCTGGGTCTGCGTGCTGGTGGGCAGCATGCAGTTAACTTCTCCCACCTGCTGGGGTTTCAGTACCTGCAGAAGAGCTCAAAGATGTTGTCATGTGTATCTCTTGAGGGGGAACCAGAACCCTGCCCCCAGGCTGCACCATTGTTTCTCTTGACTGTTCCTCCCTTGTCTCTGCATCCCCTCCCTTCCCTGATTAGCATCTGTTTGAACCTGCCCGTTGGAACGCAGGGAAGGTCACGGGGGCTGAAGGAAGCCTATTTCCTGTAATCAAGAAGGGCGGGACACAGAAAAGCTTTTGTGCCCAGGAGCCCCACAGGGTCTGCTCGGTATCACTACCAGGGATTGTATGCAAATTTTACATTTTTGGGGTCAACGTCAGGATTTCCTCATTTCAGTTCCATTCAAGTGAGCACATGTGTCTTGAGCCCCTGCTGTGTGAGACCCCCCCCCCCCATCCCCACCCCACCCCGGGCTGGCAGCTCTAAAGAGCTTGAGCCCGACAGCGGGGTGGAAAGGAAAGAACAGGCGTTCGGGATGGGGAGGGTCTCCTTGAGCTGCAGCATTGACAGAGGGATGGGTGTTTCTGCTGGGTGATGGTGATGGGTGGGATGTTGCCAGCAGAGGTGAAATGAGGCAAAAATCACTTGTGGGTGCACACAGATCCCCTCGGAAGATATAATGGCAAAAAAGGAGCCACGTTGATGATGTGTGCAATGATTATCACCTTAAACTCTTCCTGTTGACACAGTAGAATAAGGGCTATGGGGACACGTTAGAGTGATATTGCATTTTTGAACTCATGACGGCCGGCAAGAGAATCTCGCCATGGCTTCCTTTCCTTTTTATTTTTATGGAGGTGAAATTCACATAACCCCAAATCAATCAACCGAAGAGAGCAATTCGATGCCATCTGGGACATTCACCATGTGGTTCAGCCGTCACCATGATGGTTCCACAACATTTTCATCACCCCAAGAGGAAACCCTACACCCATCCCCAGTCAATCCCCACTCTCCCCAGCCCTAGGCAGCCAGGTATCTTTCTGCTTCTTTGGAATGAACTATTCAGAACCTGTCCTACAAGTGGAATCCTATAATGTGTGGTCTTTCGTGTCCGGTTTCTTTCCCTTAACGTCTTGTTTCTGGGGTTCATCCACGTTGGAGCTGGTATCAGAATTTCACTCCACGTTATGGCTGAATAATATTCCAACGTATATGTGTGTGTAGGTATATGGACATATACTTCATTTCCTTTTCGACTCTGGTGAGGTGACAAAACTTTGCTGTACAGCAGAGACTGGAACATACTGTAAATCAACTATACTTCAATTCAATGAATTAATTAAAAATCAATCACTACATCACAAGCATCCTACTACTGAAGACTCAGGCTCCTTGTTTGAGCTACCTTTCCTACCTTGTCGATTCCCTGGGTGACCAATGAAGCCTCCTTCTATCTTGAAAGCCCGTCATCGGCCAACAACCCTCAAATGTATCTCAGTACCTTTGCTCCAGACTCACGTTATCCAACCGGCTACTGGGATGCTTAACGGATACGAGATTCATACCCACGTTCATGAGATTTCCGATTCAGCAAGTCCAACGCTGTATGTTTGACCCTCCTTTGAAACCTTCTCCCTGCCACCCTTCTCCGTCTCTGCCCAAATGTTTCGAGTCTCCATACTTACTGTTCTCTTGTGTGTCCCGCATCCACCAAGAAGTCTCATTCGCTGTCCTGTCTGTATGACTTTCCTAAGACTGTCGAAATGTATACTCTCACATTGCTAAAGGCCAGACATCCGAGGTCAAGGTGTGAGCAGGACCAGGTTCCCCTCAGAGGCTCTATATGAGGGTCCCTCCTTCCGCCGTCCAGCTTCTGACAGCTCCAGGTGTCCCCTGATTTGTAATGCATCATTCCAATCTCCTTATCCTCGGGGGATACATTCCAAGACCCCTGGAACCGCGAATAATACCAAACCTTATGTACACGCTGTATTTTTCTATACATATATACCTAGGATAAAGCTTAATGTATAAATTAGGTACATTAAAAGGATGCCCGAGTTGCCAGCATCACCACTCCTGTGCTTTGGGGTCATTATTAAGTAAAATAAGGGTTCTCTGAACTCAAGCACTGAGATACCGGAGAGAGTTGATCTGATAACCAAGATGGCTGTGAAGTGAGGAAAGGGTGAAACTTGCTGGACAAAGGGAGGATTCACGTCACGGGCAGGACAGAGCTGATCGCGCAAGATTTTCTCACACGATGCTACACAATTTAAAACTTACGAATTGTTTATTTCTTCAATTTTTCCATTTAATATTTTCTGACTGAGGTGGACCATGGGTAACTGAAACCATGGAAAGTGAAACCACAGATAAGGGGGGGGAGTATTGTATCTGCCTTTCATCTCATATGGCCTTCTCCACCTGTGTCTGTCTGTGTCCAAATTTCCCTGTTCTTTTTTACTTTTGGATTTTAAAAATCTTTTTAAATTAAAATAATTTGTAAATATTATTTTTTTTAATTGAAGTATAGTTGATGTACAGCGTTGTGTTGGTTTCAGGTGTACAGCAAAGTGATTCAGTTATACACAGGTATTCTTTTTCGGCTTCTTTTCCCTATAGGTTATTACAAAATATGGAGTATAGTTCTCTGAGGAGGTCCTCGGTGGTTATCATTTTAGAGATAGTAGTGTGTATATGTTAATCCCAAGCTTCTAATTAAGGACACCAGTCACGTTTTGTGAGGGCCCACCCAAATGACCTCATGTTAATTTGATCGTGTCTGCAAAGCACTTATTTCCAGATAAGGTCACATTCACAGGTACTCGCAGTTGAGACGTCAAACATCGTTTTTTTTTTGGTGGGGGACCAATTCAACCCCTAGCACCATTCAAGTATATCAGCTCTCAGAGCACTTCTCACCATCTTCACTGCAATCACCCTGATCCAAAATACCACCAACTCTTTTCCAGCAACAATCAGAGTGCCGTGGATTATTAGGGAAGTTCCCAAAGGCACACGTGATTTCATCATTCTCCAGGGCTCGCTTCACCCCTTAGCATCTTGTCTGGACAACCTGCTCCTCACTCACTCTTCCCCACCCGTACTGTTCCATGAACATACTAGGTGACCCTTACCAAAGGGCCTTTGCACAACCTGTTCCCACTACCTGGGAAACTCTCCCTCCGGCCGTCTGCTTGAGATCAGCCCTCATGGCCCACATGCCTTAGCTGAAATGCCACCTTCTCCATGAAAGCAAGCTTGACAGTCCTGCACAGAAAATTTCAACTTCTCTTCTGCTCTCAGCTGAGGGCTCCCATTCCCCATCTACTCTTCTGCTTTTTAAACTTTCCATAGCATTTATCACCTTCTAGCATTTTCTGTGATTCGCAGATGCCTGATGTTTATGCTATAATAGAGGCTTAAGCAGAATGCAAGACATGTTTTCTTCCCTGACGTAGCCCAGTAGCACCATGAGTCCCTCTGAACAAAGGTGAGACTCAGTAGATGTCTACTGAATGAATGAATGAATTCATGATGGATGAGTCCCTCTGCAAAAAGGCAGGACTCGGTAGATGTCTACTGAATGAATGAAAGTTAAATGCCTCTCCCGAGATCTCACTAATAAGAATCAGAAACAGGGCTCAAACTCACATTTCCATGTGGAATCCAACCTTCTTTCCACAACAGCAAAATCTAGTAGAAATACATTCACTCATGGCTACTAGCCCATTTTCAAGATGTAACCATAAGGAAAAACCGTTAAGACTCATGTTAAAATAATCTATATAATGATATTTGGAGGATAAAAGGGAAACAAAACATGACCCTGAAGTACCCCTAAACATTTCATTCTCTGCTTACAGAATGCAAATTTTCATCAGGACAATTTTAACTGAATCAGCTGAGACTGACCCTATGGAAATTCCTGGAGCTGTAATATGTTAAAATGGCCCCGCTCACATTTTTAGTATAAATACAGTCTCATTTTCTTTCTTACAGTACAAGGGAGAACCAAATAATGTCAACAAACCTCAGGAGAAATAGACAAATTATACCATCAAGGCAAAAACAAATTATTGAGGAAACAAAAAGTCGGACTCAATTCCACAACAAAGCATTTGCATGCTTTTAATACTATTGAGGAGTAGAGCATAAATCGGGTTTTCTAAAAACACTTAATTCCCCTCAATTCCAATTCTTGCTTTGCTGTTTGTAGTGGTTTGTTTGTCGTTCTATCGTCCTAAATTGCTTCCAAGAACTAGAATGTAGTCTTGATGCTAATCCAATTCAGCTATATTCATTTCCTTATTATTTTCTCAATAAGTAAATATTTTCATTTTGGAGAATGATTCCAAAACACAATTATACCTCCCAGCAAGGGTTGTCATGCAAATTCGTAAGTCACTACTACTTTATTTTTATTTTATTTTATTTATTTATTTATTATTATTTTTTTTTGTGGTACGCGGGCCTCTCACTGTTGCGGCCTCTCCCGTTGCAGAGCACAGGCTCCGGACGCGCAGGCTCAGCGGCCATGGCTCACGGGCCCAGCCGCTCCGCGGCATGTGGGATCTTCTCGGACCGGGGCACGAACCCGCGTCCCCTGCCTCGGCAGGCGGGCTCTCAACCACTGCGCCACCAGGGAAGCCCGGCAGTCCTATTTTTATGTAAGCAATCTCCGTACTATTCTCCATAGTGGCTGCACCAATTTACATGCCCAGCAACAGTGCACGAGGGTCTCCTTTCCTCCACAGCCTCTCCAACACTTGTGTCTTGCCTCTTTGAGTCGCTCCTATTTTAAGCATAAACGGTTTGGGGTGTAACATCCTTAAAGGAAAATTGAGGGGAGCAAATGTCACGTCATCTTCAGGGATCCAATCACTTACCAAACATTTGATGGACGCTTCTTAATTCTAGGGCACTGGGTGAGTGTTTTTTTTTTTTTTTTTTTTGACAGAACGAAAAGCCTTAAAATTTTTTTATTTTTTAACTTTTTAGTTTATATTGGAGTATAGTTGATTGACAATGTTGTGATAGTTTCAGGGGAACAGTGACTCA